CGCTATAACCGCACCGTCTTTTTGATGGCACACCACACAGCAGACGTTTCAAACCATGAACTCTCACCAGCAGTGAAGAGGGTTTGTTTTAAACATGTATAGAGAGAGAGAGAGAGATGAGAGAGAGAGAGAGAGAGAGGAGAGAGGAGAGGAGAGAGATGAGAGAGAGGAGACTGAGAGGAGAGAGAGAGAGAGAGAGATGAGAGAGAGGGTGGAGAGAGAGAGAGAGAGGAGAGAGAGAGAGAGAGAGAGAGAGGGAGCGAGAGGAGAGAGAGAGAGAGGAGAGAGAGAGAGGAGAGAGAGAGGAGAGAGAGAGAGAGAGAGAGAGAGAGAGAGATATATATATATATAATATATATATATATATCCCCGCACTATATCAATCAATCTCTCCCCGACTTCACTCTCTCTCTCTCCCTCTCTCTCTCTCACTCACTCTCCTCTCTTTCTCTCTTTCTATTTTGTTATCTGGTTGGGGGTGGGCTGGGTGCGTGCACGGGATATTGGAGTAATCTATGGATTGTGGATTGTTCCAGACTATATTGGGAATCTCCAAATGCTGTGGAATATAATTGTGATGGACTCAAAACTTTGCGAGCAGAAATGGATTGAAAGGATTTAAAAAGCTTGAAATCAAGCATTAAAACCAAGTAAATGCGTTGGGCATTTTAGGTTTAATATCTAATGTAAAACCGGACCAATATGTCATAGATTGACGCGAAGTATGCTGGTAATGAGTTTGCCATGGCCTGATATATGCATGCAGCTATTTATATACATAACATAATTCGCATTCGAATCAGTATGCATTTTTGAGATCAGAGAGCACGCCAGGTAGCATTTAGTGTGTGAAGGTTGGCCAAACCTTTCGATGATAAAATCAGAGGTCAAAGCCATAACCATGTGGCAGAGGTTTAACGTGCCGCAATGCTCGGCACGTTCCATGCTATCCTCTGACGTCGCCTTACCTTCAGCACGACCACTGCCACTGTTACCACTGCTAGTCAGGGACAATTGGAGGACGCTTAAAGCGACGGGGGCCTACTCGGCCGCAGATGGGTGAGTCCGAGGTCAGACGCTCTAACCAACTGAGCTTTTGGGACGAGCAAGGACATGGGCTTGTTTTGTAATTAGAAGCGAAGGTGGAGCGCGAATTCAAAGATAGATTCTCCTGAAAATTGGTTGGCGGCTCTGCTATTTGGGCGTCCAAGATGCGTACAACGCTGTGTCGCACGTCATCCAGCAGCCCGTCTCATCGGCACAGCGCTAGGATACGTATGTTAGCCTGATAACATGACATTCGCCCTAAAACAGGAACGTGTTCTGGCTTCTCTGGGAAGTGGAGAGTGGAAGGCCTTTGTTTAGCGATTCCTCCCGCACCATATCCCCGTATTCGATCCCCCACCCTCATCCCGTCTGCGCGGACCGGGCGGCCGAGAGCCGGCGCGCGGCGCCTGCGTGGTAGACTGTTCCGCCGCACACAGCTCCGATGGCGGCTCTGACATGGCCGACTGAGCGGTGCAATGGAGCCGGGCGGACGGGGCGCACCGACAGAGGACGAAGCTGCAGTTAGTAGGCATGAAGCAACCGCGCGGCACAACGGGAAGGTGTTGCCAGTTCACGCACGCCAGTTCGGCTCAGTTCAGTCGAGACCGAAGGCGATGGTGAAAACACGTGGTTCCCGCTTTTGTCGCTGCACGGAGAGGCGACACCGATGGCGTCGGAAGCCCCCGCCACAACGGCCTGACGCGAGCTCGTGTCTCAACAGGATGAAGTGGATCTCAGTGTAAGAGAATTTTTCACATTTGTGTGGGGCTTTCAGCTTAAATAGGCATATTCAAGATCATTCAGTGCAGTCCACAGCCCTAGTCTTCCTAAGACCTAAACCAGTCTAGTTTCTGAACCACGCGCCCGCAAAGTTGAGCAGACTTCGTGCAGACTTCTTCAAGGTCACTCAGGCACCCATGGCCCAATAATATCATTCAAATCCTGCCTTCCATCTGCCATGTGGTGATCAAGGCCAATACAAATATTGCTGTCGAGTCGTTCATATCTGGCTTTCGTGAGCACGATTACCAGATATAAAGACCATACATTAGCTCTCAGTCAGAGTTGTGCAAGGAACGATGAGCTCATTAAACGTTGACGTAGTGCAGAGCATTTTTACTAGATGGAAAAATTGCATTGTCTAGAGCAGCCTTTTCTACTTAAGAGTATACCAATAATTGTAAGTGAGCTTATATCATCCTATCTGATGCTTGCCTCAATATCTTCGAATACGGGACATTCCCTTCAAAGAAAGTATATAGTCAGGATCTTCCACGGGATCGATCTCCTGCGAACCTAGACCGGATTCCTAAGAATTTCCCCCAGGATAATTTTCTATTCAGCACAAGTCATTTGGCTCAAAGGAGCCACTAGCCTGTGCCCCTTGTCCTGACCACGTCCCTAAGTTAACATTCGTGCGCGGCTTAGCGCTCAGGTATCTCTCGAGCACATTGTTCTTACGGCGCTGTTCCGCGTGCTCAGGACACCGAATAGATTATATTTAGCTGTGGTTCACACCGCTTTGCTGCGCGAAGAGCTGCCGTCGTTGGTTCCACGACTTAATAGCTACAACAAAAACTCCAGCTGACAGAAGGGCTACGGCAATACTTACACCCGCAATACTAATACACGACAGTCGTGGTGCGCGACAAAACACATGCTGCCAAAACTTGTTTTCTTCAACATTTCTACCGCAAAATTGTTTGGTCATTACTGATGCACGACATAAACAATCCTGCAAAGACCTATATGCGGTATAAGTGCTCAATGACAAAACTTACATTTTCATGTGCATAACTCGCTTTACTTTTACCGTTAAGACTTATGCTGTTTTATGTACGTGCAAAATTTCTTCTACTGCTAATACCTGCCTGCCATATAGTGCAAAATGCAAAAAATAAATTATGTAGTCCCCCTTAGTGTTTCCATGCGTCCGCTCCCTGCACGGGATTTTGGTTATTTTGGTTTGGGCCCAGCCTATGAGTTGGATTACTGGCCGCTATGATTTATGGTTCATGCTCTGCATTGTATTGCAGAAATGTCGCACATGAACATTAGCCGAAGAAATAAAATTGCTAATACGGAGGCTGTACGGGCTATTGCAATAGGCCATTAGGAAGGACATAAGGTCTTTTTTACAAAATTTTCATTATTTGCCAGTTGTATTTCGTAGCACATATGTCGCAGATGATTCACTGCAGCAGGAGTAATGTCGCGTATATGTCAATGTCGGCAGTCTTTGCGGCAGAACTGATGACTGGTACATGTTTTTTGCGGTATAGATTTTGCTGTGTAGCACTCATGTCGTGTATCGGTTTTGCAGTAAGAGTGTTGTCGCATATTGGTATACGCTATAAATATTCACTAAAGAAGAAATTACGCGTGTATGCTTCTGCAACATAATTCCCGACACCCAGCACTCAAGTCACGCATGCGTCTTTGCGGTAAAAGTAATGTCGTGCGCAAGAAAAGCCTGTTTAAGTCCTTGCTGTAGTTGCGTAGGAAGAGGTCGCGTATAGCTAGTATAATAAAAAAGCACCTCTACAGTTGTGTCGCGCATAGCCAATGTTGTATCACTCATGCAGTGCTACCACATTGGTTATACGCGACATTATTCTATATACGCTATATGTCGAATGTTATGTCATATATATACATATATATATATATATATATATATATATATATATATATATATATATATATATATATATATATATATATGTGTGTGTATATATACATATTTATATATACGTATATATATATATATATATATGTATATATATACATATATATATATATACATATATATATATATATATAAACAGCTTTTATATATATATATATGTATATATATGCATATATATATATACGTGTATATATATATATACATATATATATAAACAGCTTTTATATATATATATGTATATATATATGCATATATATATATATATACGTATATATATATATATATATATATATATATATAATACTTGGATGCGTACTAAAGTATCCAGAGTTCCTGAGCTCATAACATGCAGCGTTTATAACGTCCAAAGGCTGGAGAGCAGTGGCAATTAAAGCCTATCGACTGGAATTCGTGATCGTTGGATGTCATGAACATTGGATGCCATGGCTTTGGACGTTGCGAGCTTGCATGCTGTGAACTCCGCCGATGGGCGCGGCATTGGAGGCATTTTGAATTTTATGGACGTTGGATATCGTGACTTTGGATGATATGCACACTGGCTACTATGATCTTGGACTTTTGATGACGTCACGTAGGACACTTCACTCCAGTCTGTAAGATCTTTAGCGCAGCACTAATGTTGCGACACCGGCGCTGTTGGCTTCAGTATACCACCACCTCCAACCACATAACATTGGTTCACATCCCAGTAATGCAGAGCCTGGCTTACTAATTTTAAGGTTTCAGTGAGTGGCTGCGCTAACCGAAAGTCCCCTGCGCGCGAGGATGCTATATTCATCACTGCTCGAGCTTTACATGCTTTCTACGGCTTGGCCTTAGTGCGGTTTGCTTCTCCTGCGAATGCGATGAATGCCTCCCTGTTAAATGCCAAAAACAGACCCTTCTCGCGCTGTGACCGCCACTGGCATCGGACGGGCATGAATTCGTGTCGCGGACCGTTAGGAAGGAGCAACCCATCGCATGTGAAATGTATCAAGGAAATCCTTGCAGCCATCTGTGCACCGCGCCTGGCTAAAGAAATGTGGACACGCGGAGAGACCGACAGAGGTGCGCTTGGCTAAAAAGTGAAATAGATGCATGTCAATTAATGTTCAAAGATTTCTGCCCAGCGTGTGGTTACAATGTAGTCACTTCGTTCAAGACGACAATCTTGTTTCAAAACTTTTTTTAAAAAATATTGTTTCTTCCATTGTACCGTATGAGCGGCACCCACACTATGGTTAATCACAGTAAACATAGCTTGCGCCTACTTTGTTGCCCTCGCAAAATTAGAAGACAAATCTAATTTACCCACGACCGACGTTCAACACGAAAAGCTCAGCGCCCGACATGCACCCTTAAGACTCCCAATGACGACCGCATGCCGGCTGCCTGCACCGCTCGCGACCGTCGTCCGCCGCCCACGCCGGGATCACCCACCTCTTGAACGTCTGGCCCATCTCATTCCCGGCCAGGTCATCTGGCGGCGAGGTGACGCGCACCGCCGGCGAGCTGATGACGCGCGTCAGGCCGCTGGAGGGGGGCCGCGAGGTCAGGCTCGGCCGCCGCGGCCGCGCCCCCGACATGGTGCCGACTGCGCGCCGGCGGCCGCCGCCGGCTGTGTACCGCCGCCGCCGGGCAACCGGACGGTCGATGTACGCCGCGACTCGGGGGCGGAGGCCGGCGCCGCCCGTGCCGACAGCCGTCACAGCTGGGTGTCAATGGTCGCCGGTGGCCGGTCGCGCCGCTGGCCGGCGGGCGCGCGCTCACGGCCGGAAGGCTGGGGTGGAGGGCGGGGTTCGCAGATTTGCGCTCGGCTACTGAGCACTCGACGGGTTTGCCAACTCGGGCGGGCGACGAGGGGCGAGGTGGCGGGGGCGACGATGGTCACCCACTCACACCCAGATGGTAACTCTGAATATTTAATGAGTCACCTGCTACGCATTCGCGTGGACGGTCCGCGGAAGCCGAATCTCCGACGCGGCGTCAGCCGGCAGCCGGCTTTTAAATGAAGATGACGGGACGGCACGGCTGAACCGAAGGCGGCGGAGCATCCACGTGCGACACGCTGTAGCTCCAGTGACCCATGCGTCCACGGCGGCACGTCCAGTATTACGGGGCGTGTCGTGGGGCTTTGTCTAACGCGCGCAAAGCACTTACATGCATTGGTGCGTGGTTAGCAGCACACAATGGCTACTGGGTGTTTTTTCGTGACCACATGACCCCAAGCCTACATTCAGACGTAGGAGCTTAATGTCTGACGCCTGCACGGCCACATATCCACGTGGGTGGCCATCAACCACGACTGCATGCGACGGCCTGGCCAGTCCGTCGGGCCGCGTAGCCCTGCGCGAACACCCGCGCTCGACGGGCCCACAACCGTGCTTCGAGCCAGAATCTTAACCTACTCGTTGGACTCTGACCGGCTCTCGGCCGTCTGACGCAGGTCTGTTTGAGGACCTACATTGACCACACACGTGGCTCAGCCCGCCATCACGCCGCTAACTTAGGCTGCAAAAAACAACACAATGAGTGTCCGTACCCATAGAGACCAGTAAACAGCTAAATGACAGAAGGCTTCAACTAGGCAATGACAGTAGGCTTCAACAGTAAACAGCTAAATGTCAGTAGGCTTCAACTAGGCAATGACAGCAGGCTTCAACTAGGCAATGACAGTAGGCTTCAACAGTAAACAGCTAAATGTCAGTAGGCTTCAACTAGGCATTGTCATATTTGGGACAGGTCGCAAGGCCACCATGTCCACCTAGTGCTCATGATGATGTAGTGCATCGGAAAGTAGTGCGGTAGCTCCAGTCCAAGTGGCAGTTCAGCTCCGCTCGAGCGGCTCCGCTCGCCGCTACAGTTACCCGGGCAGAGAACAGCACCCGGCGTCCGACAGTTATCTTTATTACAGTGGTAAAGCTCACAAGCCATCATTAAATCGCCACTCTGACACGCCACGGCACACCTGAGATCCTTGCGTAAGCGTCACTAGCATGAAACTGTAGTACAAATGTCCTGCCATTGAGCGGGCCCGTCCCGCGGGACCCCGCGCCGTTCACAGCGGCACAGCCTCGCGTGAGGACGCCGGCATCCTGAGGACGTCGGTGTCCGGGCCCGGCTCACTCAGTGGTTTAGGCGCCCGAACCGCACCCAATATACTAGTTCCTTACGTCGCATTTCGGTGAATGGCTGGCTGAAACATCATAACCGTGGTATGGATCAATTTCGGCCAACCATTCACTGAATGCAACGGGGGAAACGCAACGGGCTAAATAAAATACGAGGGTTAATTGGAATACAAAGGCCATTCACCACTGAATGAGCCGTGCTCCGCGTTCGGTAAGAGGTATACAAACGATACATCAGTTCAGATAAATACAGCACAGCACAAGTATAAGCGAGGTGAGTACGAGCGTTCATGATTACATATGGGTGTCAGCACATGTTCATGCTGATGTACAAATGCGCGCAGAGTGCCGACGGACGGGGCCGAGTAGTTCGCAGAGCTGCCACCAGGTGGAAGGTAAGACAAGGCCCAACTCGGCTGCGGCTGAAACGGCAGTGAAAATCACACACGGAGTTTCGGAACAATGACACAACAATGAAGAGGAACTGAAGTAAGAGACTGTGACAATCATTTCGTCCCATAACCACGGGTGGCCTCAGAGCCCAGGACCTTTTGCGCTTGCTTCAAAAATTCCTAACTCGTTCATATCGTGCGACAGCGAACAGTTTCGCGAAAACCTACCAACATACCAGCCTACCACCGAGACATAACGACCAAACCTACAAACATCGAGACACGCACGAGACGAATCGCCAGGCGGGCCGCGGTCGGTGGCGTCGACAGCGCTACTCCGCCCAATGCCACCGCGCAGCCACAGACCCCGCACAGAGACGTGGTACGGGGCATCGCACGCTACGCCAGCCGGGAACGCTGGGCAGCTAGGCTTATTGCGGCCCACACTCGACAGACCGGGTGGCGAGCTTCTCTCACGAAAATACCATAACTCTTCCATAACTCTCAACTCCACCACCTCCACCACCATAACTCTTAACTCTTCCCTTAACACTCACCTTAACTCTTCCCACGCATGAGAACAAACAGCTAGCATTTGATCATGATTTGTCAACATATCGAGGCAAACAACAGAGAAATACGATCCCGGCTGCGCGAATATTGCCACCGGACTGGGCGGCGGCGACAGACACATCCCTGGGAGAGGCTTGCGGACGTCATCCGGCCATGACCGAACGGTCCGGGGAATTCCCACGATTCTGTGGCCACGCCTAGACTACCGACGGGTCGAGCGGGCTTCCGTGACGGGAGCAGACCGTACCAGCCCCCCTCCCCTCCCCCGGACCAGGGTCCCGACAGTCGGGGCTCGGTGACGGGCGCAGGTCGTAACAGTCCCACGGACCAGGGTCCCGACAGTCGGGGCTTGGTGGCCGCACCCAGCCTGCCCTAACCAGAGCCGACGGGCCAGGGACGTGGTGGACGCGGGCCATACCTAGACCCTCGAGCAACGGACGGAACGGTCAGGAGTGCTTCTGCACCAGGCGAATCTGCTCCACCAGGGCGGCCAGCTTCTCCAGCTCGGAGCCGGGCCGCATCGACACGGCCAGACTCTGGCGGTACAGGTCCTCGAAGTAGGCCGGCGCCTGTCTGTCAACACGGAGACGCGGCCCCGTCACCAGACCACCCGCCGGTCAGGCCGCGCACGGCTGACCGCTGCTGTCTCGATGGGACGCCGTGATCAACACACGATACGACGTGCTGGAGACGGTGTAAAGCCACCGAGTGCGTCCGTCAGACGAGAACGGTGCAATTCCAACCAAACGTTCAGCTGACGGATGCTGTGCGTGATTTCGTACAGGAGATCGAGTGGAATTACGGCTGGTATCATCGCATTCAGTGCTTGATGTAATGAAACGCGAGTGAATTAAATAACATTCCTGCAACTGTCAAAGATGACGCTGACATTTACAACGATCCGATCCAATCGATCAGCTGCCTTGGATGGAACCGCGACTGAATCGTGAAACATACATGTATGAAACTACTGAATTTGAGAACATCAAGATTCTTGACCCCACCAATTTACCACGGTGTAATGTGAAATCACACGAGCTATAACACGAACCGCGTTGCTTTAAATACGGACTATCGCGTCCAAACGTGCAATCTGGCTCCACTCACCTCTTCTTGTTGCCGCCGTACTTCCTGAGCAGGAGACAGACCGTCTTGAGCGCGTTCAGCAGGCTGGCGAAGAGACGGCCGGCCGCGTCCTGCGCCCGCTCAGCCACGGTGGCGTCGGCCGAGACGGCGGCGCCGGCGGCGACGCGTGCCAGCAGCGGCGCCAGCGGCGAGCCGGCCGCCGCCGCCGATGACAGCGCCTCCTCCACCAGCTTGACGCGGCTGAACCAGTGGCTGCACGCTGCGGGCGACAGCAGGCAGCGGTCACAGACCCGGCCAGCGGATGGAGGCCGGGTCAGAGCGGCACCGCCGCGCGCAGATGGACAGGCAGAGCGGCAGCGGCCGGTAGTGCATCGTTATGTCGCAACTACCAAGCAAAATGAAACACGCTGACGGTAATATAATTAACATAAAAGAATAAAAAACGAAACGGCAGACCTGACAAGCGAAGTACGTGGGTGATCATCCTATAACATCGGTACACATGTTTTTTTTAACGTCTCCAGTGCTTTTGTATGTCGTGCCATTGCTATCGTGCTGCTCGTGCCGCGTGCTTTTCGTGAGCGTTGCGCACACACCGCCCGTGAGCTAGTGGACTTTAAGGCGTCTCCACCGCACGGACATATAGCGTCCATACTGTGTGTACGTCATACGCATGCAAACCACTCTGAGCGTGTGTGCGTGCGTATACTGACAGAGGGCCTGCCCCTCCCTGACGGTGGCCTGAGCGTGCAGCATGGCGAGCAGCCGGTCCGGCCGGCCGGCCTCCTGGTACATGGTGGCCGCCTGGCTGTACGTCTCCAACGCCTCGCCGAGCAGCTGCGTGCGCCGCTTCTCGGAGGCGGGTGGTCTGCGGCGGACACTGCGCAGTCAGAAGCGGTGCGCGGGGAGGCCGCCGCGCCCGCAGACCCCGCCCGGAGCTTCCCACTGGGCCCGTCTGGTTTGGTGTGATTAATCGAGAATATGCACATTTCAAGCGACCGGCTCGGAAGCGCAGCGGAACCGGCTCTTTCAGCGGTGATGAACATAGTGCCCGCATCACGGTTCAGAGCGGTCACATACACTGACAATAATGCAAGTATAGACAGATTCCGACGCAAACGCGACATCGCGTCGACAGCATCGCCGCCGCCGCCGCCCACTCACCGCGCCTGCTCCAGCTGGTGGTCGGCCTGCATGGCAAGCACCTCGCCGGCGTGGAAGCACACCTGGCGTCGCTCGTCGCCCGGCTCCAGCAGAGTCGGGTCACAGAGGGTCAGCGCGCGCCGGAACAGCTCCAGCACGGCGCGCGGCCCGCGCCCGGCCGGCAGTCCCGTGTGCAGCAGCGCCATGCGGTAACCGACGCCGCTGCGGAAGAGACGCATGCGCGCGGCGAAGTTGGCGCAGCCGACGACGGCGGCGGTCTGCTCGGCGAAGCGGGCCGACCGGCCGGGCGCGGCGGCGGCGGCGGCGGCGCGGCCGTAGCAGGCGGCCGTGCGCTCCAGGTCGGCCAGCGTGGCGGCGGCGTCGCCCAGCAGTCGGTGCTGCGCCGCCGCCGAGCGGTCGTACAGGTGGCCCAGGTTCATCTCCGTGGCGCAGCGCTGCGGCGTCCCGTCCAGAAGGGTGACCGCCTGCGGCCAGCGGGAGAGCGGTCAGGGGGAGGGCCTGGGGTGTGCAGCGGACACACGGCTGCCGGCAGGGTCGGCCGCCAGTGCGGTGGAGCCCGTCGTAGACAGCCGCCGTCCAGTGGGCAGAGAGCGACAGGCGGCGGCGATGGAGCGGCATGAGGCGTGGTGTGCATGCGCGAGGCCCAGTAGACAGTGGAGGGGCGGGCTGGACGGTGAGACAGACAGGCCGTTGAGTGTCATCCAGACACGCGCGCCAATCGGAGGAGGTAACCGGCCCAACAGCGACACACGTGCGGATATGCCCAGCCCGCCATTTGGTGACAAACACTAGCGAGAACTCATGCTAATTTCGCAACAGCTTCTCATGAAGTAAAATAAAGTACAGCGGAAACGACCTGCTGACAAACTAGTGCATTTGTAGGAAATCCGATAGTGATTGTACCGTATACCGTTCGTTTAAAATGTACTGGTCCTTTTCTTTTTTCTTTTTAGTTGTTTAGCAAAGTTTCCGTAAGACTGGCTCAAATTGTGCATGTTTAGCATGCCAACTTTTCATGATCAGATGGTTTTAGGTGCAAAGTTTTCGGTGAATATATAAACGCATCCTGTTATGTGCTACACCATGCCAAATGATGTCACACTCCACACTACCTGCCGGTACCCGGCAGCCGCCCACCTTGCTGAAGGCCGCCTCCGCGCTCTTGTAGGCGCGCTCCATGGGCCGGCGCTGCGCCTCGGCGCGCGCGCGCAGGCCGTCAGCGCCGCCGCCGTCCACCGTCTGCATCAGATTCTCCAGGCGTCGGTTGTGTAGCAGGCCAATCTCATTGAGGATGAGGCCCAGCCGCGTACGTACGTGCTGACGCATCTCGGACGACAGGTGCTGTGGCGGGGAGGAGGGCCAACAGCGAGGTCAGGCCAGCCCCATTTTCACTCGCCTTGTTCTATCACTTCACGACACTGCCGGGCTCTGTGCCATTCTCTGGCCTCTGCGCCATACGTTGGCCCCGCCGCTGCGGCGATCAGTCCAGCATCCAACAGCTGAGCTACGGAGTCCGCAGCACGCGCAGAACACCACCGAGCGAATCACACCAAAAGCTTTTACCATCTCACTAACGCATCCACGCAACATCCACTCAGGCATCGCCTCAGTAAGGTATCTGTCCACAAGTGGCGGAGTCATCGGCTGACAGGGCAGCGTCACACAGCGAAACACAGCGAGAGCTGAACAGCCGGAGCCGGATTGCGACAGAGATCGTACGTCACCCGCCCGAACTAGCCCACCACCTACCTCACAGACTCTGCAAATGGACACGCGGACCGGCCGTGATGAGCCCACTCGGTGATTGGTCGACGGCACATAACTGTGGCGCTGGGGGCGCTCACCTTCAGCGAGACGGCCGCCTCCATGATACCGATCGCGTCCCCCAACATGGCCATGTCGCCGGCCTCCGACGCACGCCGCGCCGGCCGGCCCACGAACGCCGGCTCGAAGTCTGACAAACGACAGAGCACGAGCGGTCAAGTCGCGCCAAACTGAGGCAGCTCCGTCTGGCAAACGGACAAAAATGAGGAGGCGTGCTGAGGAGGGCGTACTCTGCAGGGTCACTGTCGGACTCATGCTTCCAGCCTTATCAATACGCTTGCTACGCGGGGGTCCAGTGAGCTGGTGGTGAGAGCCTGTGCTCCTGGCATTACCACCACCACCCCTAACCCACCCACGGGCGCCATACCAAGCCTGGTGAGTCACTCGGGCTCGCCCGGGCTTCTGACACGATAACGCGTCGCCGGCCGCGCACTCACAGGCGTCCTTCTGGCGCAGGATGTGCAGCAGCTCTCGGCCGAGCGGCTCGCCGGGCTCCTGCCAGCGGCGGCGCGCCGCCTCCGTCTCGGCGACCGGCGCTCGGCTCAGCAGCAGCAGGCCGTCGCTGACGAGGATGGAGGCGGCGGCGGTCACCTCGGGCACCTGGCCGCTGCCGCCAGCGGCGCGCACGCAGCACAGCGCCGCCTGTGCCATCTGCAGCGCCGGCAGCGCGTCGTCGCGCTCGGCGGCCGCCGCCGCGCGCACCGTGCACAAGTGCGCCGCCTTCTGGCAGAGCAGCGTGTCCGAGACGTCGCCCTCCTGTGCGGCGGCGGCAGGCGCGGACGGCGCGGCCGGCGGCGGCGGCGGCGACGGCGGGCGCGGCTCCGCCCCCGTGCCGGCCGCCGCCGCCACCAGCGCCGTGTTCAGTGGGCAGTACGGCATCGGAATAGCCTGCGAAGGCCGCGCCATCTTCGGCGCCTTGTCATCGCGCTCGAGCTCGTCGCGCCGGCGCAGGCAGCTGAACGCCGCCAGCACGTGCTCCATGGCGCACTCGGTGCGCTCGAGCGCGTCGCCGGCGATCGGCTGCGGCCGCAGGTCGCCGGACCGCGCGCCCTCGCGCGGCGGCACGGCGCCCTTGCGCGCCAGCAGGTCGACGCGCACCATCGGCTGCTGCGTCCACGGCGATTCAGCGGCGCCGGCACGCTCCGGGCTGCGCGCCAGAGCGCTGGCGGCAGCGGCGGCGGCGCCGGCGAACTCGGTGGCCAGCGGTCGGTGGTCACGCGGCACGTAGCAGTCGGCCAGCATCATGTGGATGTTGGCCCGTACCTGGCGGCCGGACGCGAAGATCGGCACGCGGTTCGGGCGGACACGCCGGCGGAGGGCAGGGCACACGTGTGTGAAGCGACAGCCAGAGGGCGGCCAGGTGGCAGTCGTGACACTGTGACTGCGGCGCGCCGTAGACCCCACAACGGAGAAGTGGGATACGTGTCGAGTGCTTCAGGTATGCAACAAGACACAGACACAACAAAACACAAGATGCCAGTAATTTACTTTGTCTTTGATATACACGCCATCAGTTAAATATGTCATACAACTAGGTGCCATCAATCCCGTTTTGCATTTTACGGACTGTGTGCAGGCACCAATAAGTGGGAAGCACGGGTACAGGACACCACCGCCACATACTCCACCTTTTCTTGCCATGCATCGCCCCGCTGCCCATCCCCACATCTTCCTGAGTGTCGGGCATTACCCGGCCGCTGCCCGGCCCGCGCACCGACCTGCAAGTACTTGTCGCCCTTGATGAGCTCCAGCGTCTTGCTGAGGATGGTGCGCACCGTGCCGAGACGGTCCCCGTAGTCCACCACGTGCCGTTTCCGCAGCATGTTGCACGCGATCCTGCGGCGCCCGACGCCACCCAGGTGTTAAGGACGGGCCGCGCGTCATGGCTGCGGTGATCGACAGCTGACGACAGGAGCTGCACGCGTCGAGGGGCGAACGCGACGGGCCGTGACAGTGCCGCTCATCCATCTCCAACACTGTTAACTGAAACCCGCAGACTCGATCTGCAGCTTGACCACAACTGCAGTCGATTCCTACTATTTTTGCCAGCAACGTTATCACTTCGGCCTCGCGCCGCCGACTGCTCTTTGCTGTTCTTTTTCTTTTCTTTTCTTTCTGCCCATGCAGTATGGCGGAATCACTTTTGAATCGGCGGAACCCACCGACAGAGAAGAGGTGGCCGACCACTCACCGGTAGAGCAGCAGGGCCACGTGACCCGAGAAAGGGTTGTCGTCCCTGTTGACCTCCTCGAAGCGGCTCTCCAGCAGACTGCTGAGGTCGTACAGCTTAACGCAGTCGTCATCCTCGCCTGGCAGCGGCACCAGTGGGTCAGTCACACGGCCAGTTTGCCGACAGGCTCACCACTCCGCGGGCCAGTGCTTCAGTACGTACACGAGCTGCCAGGTGAACCAAGCACATCACGTGTCAACGAGTTTGACGGTCATACCGGTCCTTCCAGTGTGGCGACAGGCCGCGATCCGTTCACCGCTTGACCCAGCACATGCCACCAGGCTGCCAGGCGACGCGTCTAGCCTCGCGTTGTAGCCTGACACCGGCTTGGTCCGACACCCGGCTCAAACCGCTCCACACGGCAGCCTGCGCCACGCCGGCCCCGGCCTGGACCGATCGGCGGCGCTCTCACCCTTGAACAGCCAGTAGGTGTGGCCCGTCTTGGTAGCGTTGGCGCGCAGGAACGACAGGATGTTCTCGGCCACGTCGTGCACCACCTCCGGCTTGAACGTCGAGTCGGGCAGGTGCGGCAGGTCCTCCGTCTTGATCAGCGAGTACTTCCTGCCGGGCACGGCGCGGTTAGCGTCGGCTTTAAGTTAGCTGACGAGGCAGGCACGCTCGTGCAGGGTCAGGAGATGCTGTAACGTTCCGCTCCCGATACGCGACAATGTGCACCGCACCCACAATCAGCTCTCAGAGAAGCATAGCTTGCTTTAGTAGGTACACAAGTTGCTCAAGCGCTCGTGAATGTGCGCCGGTCGCCTTCGACGAAAGACAGCCGACTCAAATGGCTGCAGCCTATTCAGCACGGAGCGGGGCGGGTGGCGTGACTGGATTGGTGGCAGGTGCACTTCCGACGCCACGCACGCCCCTAACCCTCTAGCAGAGCGTGGTGCAAGCGGCGAGGCGACAGTGGGAGACGGCGCCTCCCAGTGTCGGACCGAACCTGCCCAGTCGGCCTGGAGCCCCTGTGGCAGCGCCGGGCGCCGACACATACACGGCGCCGAGCGCCGCCTCGGACCCGCCGGGTGAGCGGAGGCCAGAGCAGCCCGGCCTATACCCGCCCAGATCCAGCTGTCACCGCCCGGATCTGACCCCGCCCGGCCTGGCGCGGTGCACGGCCCAGTTAGTTTGACTGTTTGAATTAGAGCCCTCTCGACCAGTAAGCATCATGTCAGGGCAATGCGACAAAAGAGAGTGGATGACGCTGGGGGCACGACTACACGCGCCTGGGGCCCCTTCGGCGGCGATTAGCCCGCGCAAGGCCCCTCTGAGGGGTTTGCAGGTTCATCCCGCTCGGCGCGCTCTCGCCGTCCGTCCCAACCGAGCACCGTCCACTACACGCCACCCCCATGCGAGCACGCGTGCGGCGACACGGACGCCAGCTCTGGGCGCCACACGACTCCGCGGTGGCGTCGTCCGAGTCGCCCACCATCAGCAACAGCCTCGGATACGGGATCCTGGGACTGAGCTCGATTCTCGCGCGTCGCGTGCGTTGGCGCTGGGTCCGTCGCAGCAGGCACGTGAACGTGCATCGCGAACCCCCACAGCGGTGGCACGCACCGGCGAACAGCCGAGCGACTTCCCAAGCGCCCCGCCGCTCAGGACCCGCCGCAACCGCTTACTTGAGCACACCGTCCACGTGGTAGCACATGAGCACCTCGGGCACGTTGGACATGAGGTTGTCGAGCCAGTAGTCGAGCCCAGTGAGAACGTTGATGGGCTCTGAGAGGTCGTGCAGGCGCAGGCTGACGCAGGGGTGCGTGCCACCGCCCAGGATTGGCATGTCCGTGCCTGCCGCAGGCGCACAGCGGTCAACACACGCGAGCGGTCAGGGGTCAGCAAACGGGCGGTCAAAGGTCAGCACACGGGCGGTCAGGGGTCAGCACAGGTGCGGTCAGGGGTCAGCACGCGGGCGGTCAAGGGTCAGTACGCGGGCAGCCAGGGGTCAGCGCGCCGACAGTCAGGGGTCAGCGCGCCGGCAGTCAGGTGTCAGCAACAGGTCAGCGGTCAGGCGCCCCAGGTGCAGCACACAACCGGCGGTCAGATGGCGCGTGAGACTGCAGACGGAAACACGTCGTGCTCATGACGGCGGCGCTGTTACAAATAAATGACACGAACACAACGCAACGCCTCGGCTCGCGCTGGTGTTCATAACGCTTCATGTCAGCGTCAGTGCCAGCATCACTCAAAAACGTCCGCTGCCGTAATTCGCTGTTGTCAGCCTCGCTTCCGGGGACACGCACAGCAACACAATTCGCGACGCAACCCGACCTTCATCGTTTCGGTTGCCTACGCGAGCGGCTACACCCGCATGGGCGTTCACCGTTAGAGACGAACAACGCGGGCCGAGTGGTCCGATGTCATGCAATGTCCGTATGAACGCGCCAAAGTCCGAGTGTAAGCCATCGTTTCAGTCTACAGTGACGACACGGGACGAAGGCTGTCTGTTGGGGCTCAGCTTCAGTCCAAGCGTTCGTAACACGCCGTCGGCAACAGCTAAAGCCGACCACACCTCCGGGCCAGCCACCATAAACCCTTTGCAACAATGCATCTCTCACACCCGTCACGCCAGCCCCCTTCCCCACCCCATCATACCCACCGATCAGCATCTTGAGGTCCTGGAAGGTCCAGAGCATGTTCCTGGTAAAGTAGTGCCGGCGGTAGCGGCCGCGCGGCGGCGGCGGCGCCTCGGTGACGTCCGAGGGCGCTGGCAGCGCCAGCAGGGCGGGCGGCGCGGCGGCGACGGCCGCCGGCAGCGCCGTCACGCTGTGGAGCAGCAGCTGCGAGTAGAGGTCGGCCGAGCGGGTGTCGAGCGCGGCCGCCTCCTCCTCGGCGGCGGCGCGCCGCGCCCAGTCCACGTCCTGCCGACGCCGGAGAGCGGGGTCACCGGCGTCAGGGAGCGCAGGAGAGCGGGTCACCGGCGCCAGGGAGCGCGGGAGACGCCGGTCACATAGCACCCCTCCGATGTTCCCGGGGTCACGATCACCGGTCTGAGGTCACTGACGTCGCCAGCCGAGGTCAGGGCTATCGACATCAGCACCGCCACCCGTCACCACAAACATTGGGCGACGTCACATCACCCATAACCCGCGTCACCGGCAGATAACTGACCCGTATGCCGCCAGCCAGCCAACAGGGGAAGCTGACATCAGAAGCGCCGGACAGTGGCCAATGACGTCACTGGCAGAGGTGGGGACCGCTGACGACACCGTCCCGGGTCGGGGCTCACTGACGGGGTTGTCACCCACAAGCGGTCTTTGAAACACCATGCAATGGGTCGCCGAGTGGTTCAGGTTGTGGAGTGCGGAGCCTGCGAGGCAGGAGCAACTCGCGAGTGTCTCGAGCTGCCAGGTGAGGTTGGCATGGTCGCAGCCCCATTCCCCAGCCGCATTGCACCGACCGACACCGGTCAGGCACAGGTCACTTGTCAGGGTTACATCGCTGTCGGAGCACGTGATCCCAAGAGGAGCAGGTCGACCCCTCTCGTTCAACTGATCCATGTAATGTCGCATCACTTGGCGTCGGCACAGCCAGTGTGTGGGATGAGCCGCCTTGAACTGGATGCGGGCTCGCCTCCGAGCATCAATCATGAGGCCAACCTCTTACCTTGTACAAACATAACATATTGTGAACAAATGAAACAAATGAGTACCCGATTAATAGTCAGCTAAGTCAGCATTGCAGTGAGATTCGTTGCTCGAAGCAAGTACTTTTACCCTAGCTGGTCAGAGCTGGGACTAGAGCCCCGTACCTCGAACTTGGTCATGAAATGTTCGCGGAGCAGGCGGTCGAGCCAGACCCACTCGGTCTTCTCCGTCTCCAGCAGATGGGAGGTGATGTCGAACTCGTCCAGCAGCAGCAGCCGGCCGACGCGGTGCACCATCATGCTGATCTGGCCGGCACAAGCACGCGCCGCGTCAGGGTGCCCGCTCCGCAGACTCGCACAGCCACAGGACACACTAGTCCCGGTCGCACCGTAAGCTCCCCTGACGAAAGCATCCTCCTCGTGGCATGCCCAGCACCAACCAGCTGCAGCGATGGCCGGCCTACTTCCTTACCAAGACGCGCGCGGTGGGGAAGTGACCCGGCCACTGACGGTCTTCTGCTCTCTGCCATGCGCACCATACCCGAATTCGGACGTGCTCCTCGCCCAATCCAACTCGTCCAGCTAACACAGCTGTTAGAGACGTAAAGCGTACGAGACACAGCACACGGTTGCTGGAAAGGCGTCGCATTTCAGCCCGGATGCCATAAGCGGCGTATCACAAAATTTCGGATTGATCATTGCTGCGTCTGCCGGCACGCTTCCTGCCGGCAAACCGCTGTCAGGAAGGCGTCGTCACCAGCGGGGCCACTGAACGGCCACAGCCAGCCGACTCTTCCGCTTTATGTTGCATCAGTTTGCGTCGGCATTCCCCCTGGACGGGAAATGTCGCCTTGAATAAGATGCTGGCGGGAATCAAATAACGTGAGTACAAAAAAATACAGGGCATCCGTTTTAGTGCCGGAGCCAAGGGCTAAAACATAAGCTCCGCTCAATCTTAACACATCTGACCCATTCTGATATTTTGCAAAGGGTCAGATTGTACTAACTGGCTGGGCATGGGGGCTTACATCATCGAATCTACATAATCGACTACCAAGATCAGAGAGAACAACTTCAACTCACCTCTTCCCTACTGTTGTAGGCAAGTTTGAGAAGCTTCTTGATGTTTTCACTTTCAGAGATGACATCGACGCCATCAAGACTATCCGTACACATGTTGGCTATACAGAAACTGAAAACAAGAACACTTATGTCGGAATTAGTTCAATCAGCAAAGATCAAGATGACATCATAACATGAAGTTCAGTTAAAACTCATTACAATACAGATAAGTATGAGTTGACATAACCAGCACAGAGCAACAATCAAAACATTCTGAGTGGCATGGGTTGTTAAGTGTATTTGTAACGAACGTTACACACATGGGCAGGACAGCACTGTCAGCCTTATTCCTCATCCAATAGCCAGGAGAAAGGAGACATAGATGCATCAATATTTCAGCGGCGTGTCTCAATCAAAACATATCAGCACTTCCACCACTACTTGTAGTTGCAGTTGTTGAGCACCACTCAAAGTCTTTTGCTAAAGGCTTGTTGCCAGATTATCAATACATCTAGCTCTCCTTCCTGCTGGTTATTCGACGATAAATAAGACTAATGGCACTGTCTTACATTCTGGACAAGACAAGTAAACATGCAGCAAAGCAAACCCTGGCAATGCATTACAGTGCAGCAGCATAGCGGCACTGCTTGCGTTACTTGGTTAAATTCCCCACTATGAACACTGTCGCGCTGTCTGCTTCGACAGATCTGGCAGATCCCCAGAAAGGATACTCAGAGGAAAGATCTCCTGAAAGTCATATTCAAAAGACATGTTCTGAAAATTACTGGCGTTGCACAATGTATAGTACTCACGCACTGCGTAACACTAGCAAAATGTGTAACATTAGCACACTGTAACACTAGCACACTGTAACACTAACACACTGTGATACACTAGCACACTGTTCCCAACACTAGTATGCTGTGTAACACTAGCACACTGTGTAACACGAGCACACTATGTGCCACTAGCACACTGTGTAACACTGGCAGACTATGTAGTACTTATACACTGTGTATGCTCGTGGTACGGACAAGACGCTGCACGACCCTCCCACTGGGAGCTCGGCCGCGGGCTCAGCTGCCAACAAGGAGGAAACTGGGATAGACGTCAAAGCAGACCTTAGCCTGGGTCAGCTTTGCCGTCTTGCATAAAACAGGCACACTGGGCATATTTCGTGACTGCTGCGATCCTCGTGTTGATTTGAAATACTCGCCGGGGAGGAGCAATCAACATTTGTACCGTTAAATCCCACAATCAATCCAAAGATGATGGGGTCATCTTGATTACATATTGATGCACATGTTCGTGATAACTTGGAATTGTTTGCTCAAATCGTGACATTTGCTTCTTACAGCCTATCAAACATAAATAGAAACTCCAGTACAACACCTGTGTTTTTGTACTACAGAAGGGTTCTGCACAGCCATTTTTGGCTCAAAAAAGCATTTCTGTCATATTGTGTGTGTTTGTGGGGACCTTTTTAGGCATGGAGGACCTCTTTCGGCATTCCGTGAAAAAGAGGGCAAAGTAGAAGATTAAGAAGTGAACATTCTTTACCAAAAAGGTGAACAATCACCCAACTTATCCCGCTTTTGACCCATTTGAAACAAAACTCCCTCTTCACTTGGTCACAATGCGCTACTGGTTGGTGACGAATCAACGATACGAACACTTCGATCCCAGGAAGATGGTGCAAACTGTTGATGACTGTTCAACAGAACTGGCCCCAGCTGTGCCTCTCCCCTGCCTGGAATGCTCCACCCCGGCCCGCACCACTCACCTGGAGAACTCTGGCCGGTCGTGGCTGCTGCACTGGCGGCGCAGCACTTCGCGCTGCCAGGCGTCCATCTCGCGCGCGTAAGCCGGGCTCCAGAGCGGCACGGTGGCGGCGGTCGGCCGCAGGTCCGTGTGCAGGTCCGGCTCGGTGAAGCCCGGCAGCCGGTCCAGCAGCGCGAACTTGACCTCAGCGCACGAGCGCAGCGCCGGCACCACGCGCAGCGCGCCGCCCGCCGCCGACGGCCGGCCGCCCAGGCACGGCCACTCATCAGCATTGTCGCCACAGGCCAGCAGCTGTGTGTCGCTGATGGCGGCCTCCATGCTGCAGGTCAGGGAAAGGGGGTCAGTGACTGCACATGGCATCCTGCTTAGAGAAATACAGCACGGGATTTGAAAATCTGAATCTGACTGTGAATAAAATCAGACTAGGATGCAGCTGAGCCTAAGTCTGTGTTGAGTGTAGAAAATATAGGTGCATCTTGGTATCTTTAGTTCCAAGAGGTTTATGTGTCCCTAAATCTGCACTGAACAGAGTTTAAACACACCATTTTTCATCACAAAATTTAGCAGTATGAAGAGAGATTCATCTCACACCATCCGCTTAATTTGGGCTGCTAATAATTATCAAACAGCTGTGCAGCTGACCTGGGAGCTGCCCTTGGATATTCCTAGATTTTCAATGACGAATATAAGAGTTCACTTTCACTCATCAGGTTGCACAAATGTGTTTTAATGCTCGGAACACGCAAAATACCTATATGGATTGATACATAGATGTCAGATATTCAAGAGCAAAAATAATTCTTAAGTTCACAAGACTATTTCAGGATCAACCGTGCACGGCACAAACAAAGAACAGTTGAACAAACATCAGCGAGTGGTTTTCTTAAATAAAATGGTTGCAGTTCATCAATTCTTTTAAAAATTTTACAAACAAAAATTATTAGAGCTGAATGTTATGTGTTGGTATCATAATGAAACATTATTTAAAGTCTGGAACATCACCAACCTTTCCTATCAGAATGTTCCAGTTACCTAACCATGCTGAGCACTAGGCTTCACAAGCATTGCAAGGGACAGTGGCATGAGAAATGATGGCCCAGGTGGAGCCGGAATTGCAAACATTCCAGGTAAAGGAACTGTAATGCTTCCTTTTCACCTGATGACATTATCTTATTTTATGAATACCACATTTTTATAAATGTAAGGTGGTCAAAATAGCATGTCAGGGTGCAGCTTGTGTTTCACATTTTGGGAATATAAGTATATCAAATATTAGTTACTTGGATCACACAACATTAACAAATAACATGAATTAGCAGGATTGTACGTACTACTTAGCATAGCATGCCTGATGAAGCAGTGATACAGTGACTACTGTTACAGCTCACAAACACCAGAAATACAAGCTCAGAATTTAGAATATGGCCACTGTGAATGGGAGCCTGGTGCCATGTATAATATTTTTGTACATTTGTCACCAATCCTGATAAAGTACATGTAGCTGTGTTAGGGTGAAAACTGAGAAGCACAATTATAACAGCTACTTACTACCAAAATACCAAAACACCTACAGTTTCAAGCATTTCCAGACGGCAGATTGGTTGAATTGCTTTCAGTTAAGGCGTAAACACTTTGGTATTCTGATTAGAGCTGATTGGTATTCTCAACGGCCCTTCCAGAGCATTCGGCAACTATGCATCACGCTATTACAGGGCCTTGGGCATCACTTACTTGAAATGCTATCGACAGATGGCTTCCCTTAAACGATTCACTCGAAAACTGGTCCATACATCAATTCGGGGGTGTTGACTCTTACAACCATGATAAAGCCACGTACATCCCCGCGCACGCCTCCACAGCACCCTCGGCTCCACCGCCCGTCACCTCGCCACGCCGCGGCCCCCCAACGCGCACGCTATCCGCGAAAGCCAAGGTCTCGCTCAAATTGGCATCAGATTCACATCCATATTCAGCGGTGGGGGTCTAAAAAAACAGCATGTGACGCAGACACACAAGTTTCCGAAAACGGCTTGTCCGATCGCATTGAAACCTTCACCGATCAATTCCGTGCATTAAGGCGAGTCATGGGAGGCAATATCGAGACCTGACCTGAGGTCAAACACCTCGAAAATGCGAAGGGAAAGTTTTATACGCGCATGCAGACAACCCAGGTATCAGCGCCTACTGGACCGATCACTGTGAAAACTTTAACATTGGATACCCATACCTGATTCTCTGCTGCAGTTTCAAAGTTGGTGACCCTAGGTTAGGTCAAAAGTCGTTAAATTTCACAACGTCCAAAATTCTTGCTTGCAGACTAATGATAGCTGAGAATCGATCACGCCGTAGCTGCCAAACCTTACCATTCAATACGCCATCTACCCTAATTGCCTGTTGAAACTACGAGTATGGTGCCATTTACAATTATGTGTTTCGCTTTATGTTTGTTCCCAAAAAAGTGTAGCTTGGTTGCGCTGGCCAGGAGGTCGACTTTCTCCTCAGCGGAGCATCAATCGGGGTGAAACCATGCACAATTCAACGCGTGATTTTCAGCACAACACCTCCGCTAAGGTGAAATTGAATCTTATAAGGATCGGTACGCCTTGTTACCGAAAAGAAATCGACAGGGAAGGTCACAATAAAAACGTGGACTCCTTCAATTCTTTCGAAACTCCGTGTGCTGGTAGAAATTGGCCTCCTCCTTACAGCCAGCACAAAGTTTTGAACCGCTACGCTGTATCAGAAAAGTTATAGTTTTTCGAACTCCAAGGCCGCTAAGAGAAAAGCATAGATTACATTTTCTATATCTTTGACTCAATTTCATATTCGGTATTCACTTATCTACCGATCTACTGATATATGCGTAAAAAGCGCACGGACGTGAGGCTCCAACATGTGCGTATGCAGTCACTCATTACCGGCGATTAAGGCTACTCCGTACATCTCAGGGCAGCAGCTGCAGCATGAGCAACACAAATTCTGAATACATGAAAACTGCGTCTTGCGTATGAAAAGCTAGTTTAAAAAGAAGGTTTGTAAAGACAAACAGCAGAACGGAACAACTGAGCACGTCCTGTGCCCAGTCCCGTCACTAAAACACCACAAGGCGCTTGACAAAGCGAGACTGCGCTCCAGGACGGTGGAACTGGCTCACGAGGGCTACCAGGGGATTATAAGATTCAAACAGCGAGCCAGAGAAGTCTATTGGTGGCCGCCAATGGACACCGCGGTGAAGACTACCGTCAGAGCTTGCGACGTTT